AAAAAAAAAAAAAAAGAAAAGCTATCCAGGTGTTGTGCCAGGGGCTTATAGTGCCAACTATAGAGAGGCTTAGGCAAGAAGATCTCTTGAGCTCAAGCATTTGAGGTTGCTGTGAGTTATGACATCACAGCATTCTGCCCAGGGCAACAGAGTAAGACTCTGTCTCAAAAAATAAAAAATAAAAATAACGTGTGTTTCAAAAAATATAAAAATAATATGTGTGTTTTCTTTTTTGCCTTAGAATGTGTTGACATCAATGTGACTCCAGATAAAAGGCAAATTTTACTACAAGAGGAGAAGCTTTTGTTAGCAGTTTTAAAGACTTCTTTGATAGGAATGTTTGATAATGATGTAAATAAACTTAACATCAGTCAACAGCCACTATTGGATATTGAAGGTAAGAAAAATACTGTGTATAAACAGATTCTACAACTTAGCTATTGTGATACGTTCCGTATTTTTTCTAAGGTAATGTTTTTTAACATGAAACAAAATCTCCTATTTTAGACAGAGGATCTGTCACACAAGAAAGTATGTAGCTACAGAATTAAGATAATCTGTTATTAATAGAAAGAGGCATGAGTGACCACATTTAACACACATAGTAGTATGCAGTGATGTCTTTCTTGGGACATAATGCTCTCTCTAGTGTTTTTTAATTGTAAACAGAGGACATAATATAAGATATAGAGGATGAGGCCGAGTGCTGTGGTTCACGCCTATAATCCCAGAACTCTGGGAGATGGGAGGATATTTTGAGGCCAGGAGTTCTAGATCAGCCTGAGCACAATTGGGACTCTATCTCTACAAAACATGGAAAAATTAGCCAGACATGGGGACATATACCTATAATCTAGCTACTTGGAAGACTGAGGCAGAAGGATCCCTTAAGCCCAGAAGTTTGAGGTTATGTTGAGTTAAAAAAATAAAAATAGCTGACTTAAAATTGTTATCTATTTAAATCTGTGTGAACTTCTTCAGTGATAATTTCCATTGACTGCTCTTTTTCCCTGCATGTGGACTATGCTTTCTTCTTTGTATGTCTCATATTTTTTTGTGTGGGAGGAAAACTGGACATTTTAAATAATAGAATGTGGAAACTCTGGAAATAAGATTCTCTCTCTCCCAAGGGTTATTTGTTGCCTTTTGTTTACTGACTTTTCTGAAAAATTCTATTGAGTCTCTTATTCTTTGTCATGTGTGGTCAGTGAAGTTTCTGTTTTGCTAGCGTTTTGGTTAGCTGATGATTCAGAGACTTCCTTAAATGCCTGAACCCAGTAAGTCTCCCAGTGTTTGCTGAAGAGCTGTATTGCCTGTTGGGGAAGTGACCATCCTGCTTTAAGAGTTGCTATTTCCTGATCTCGGGACTGAACACTTTGTACTTGCATAGAGCCTCAAGGTTAGCCGGAAGTGAGAGCTCAGACTCTGTTCAGGTTTTTCCTGGGAATACATGGCCTTCTAGGGTCCTAGGTTTAGGATGGAGCTTTTCTGAGTCCCATAGACATCTCATTCCCAGGCTATTCTTTTTGTTTGTTGTTTCGTTTTTTGAAATGGGGTCTCACACCATTGCCCAGGTTAGAGTGCAGTGGTGTCTTCATTGCTCACTGAATCCCAAACCCCTGCGCTCAAGTGATCTTCCTTCTTTAGCCTCTTGAGTAACTGGGATTACAGGTGTGCCACCATGCCTGGCTAATTTTTCTATTTTTTTGTAGAGATGAAGACTCATTCTTGTTTAGGCTAGTGTTGAACTCTTGGCTTCAAGCAGCCCTCCTGCCTCAGCCTCCCAAAGTGCTAGGATTACAGGTGTGAGCCATTGCACCCAGCCTCTGGGTGTGCTTTGTAATAGGATCTGAACAGGGTGGCAAAGGTGGGTCCTTCTTTCTTTATCTCTGTGGAAGAGGCTAGTGGTGCTAACTCTACACTTACTCCAGGACACTTAGCCTAAGAGGCTGCCCCATAAAGAGAGACTGCTCAAAATATCTGTGAATCTTGAAGTGTAGTTGAACCAAATGCCTATCTTTTTGCCATTTTGTTAAAGTAAAGCAATCATATAGAAACAGACACGTCATAAGTATATGACTTATAAGTGTATCAACCTGAGACCAAGAAACAGCATCTGTAGACCTGCCCTTATGCCCCTTTTCAGAACTAACCCTTGGTGGTAACCACTTTTCTGACTTCTAACAACATAGTTTAATCTGTTTTTAATTTGAAGTCATTTAGTCTGTACTTTTTTGGGATTTATTTCTTTTTCTCACTATTGTGTGGTGAGATTCATCCAAGTCATGTGAACGAAAATCAAGCATTCATTCATTCATTTGCTGTATGGTATGCCACTGTACGTTCAGATACCACAATTTCTTTGTATTTGAGTGTGTCTAGTTTGGAGCTATGAAGAAAGCATCCTGAGCACTCTGATATGTGTCTTTGATGAGCATAGATAACACTGCTGATAGGACTAGGTACTTGGGGTTAAAGGTAGGTGTATATATGATTAGATTTGGGAGGTGTTCCTAGTGAGATTTATAAAGCAGTTATGCCAATTTCATTACTAATGTACAAAATATACTTAAATTCAAGAGGTATTAAAGCATTCCACTTGATCCTGATTTTTTTTTTTTTTTTTTGAGACGGAGCCTCAAGCTATCCCCCTGGGTAGAGTGCCATGGCATCATGCTCACAGCAACCTCCAACTCCTGGGCTCAAGCGAGTCTCCTGCCTCAGCCTCCCAAGTAGCTGGGACTACAGGTGCCCGCCACAACGCCTGGCCATTTTTTGGTTGCAGCCATCATTGTTATTTGGCGGGCCCGGGCTGGGGATTCGAACCCGCCACCTTGGGTGTATGTGGCTGGCGCCTTAGCCGCTTGAGCCACAGGTGCCGAGCCTTGATCCTGATTTTTGCAAACATTTGTTGTTTTAATTTACCCATTCGGGTGAGTACATGGCTGTATCATAATGTGGCTTTAATTGTTTCTTCTTTAGGATTAATGTTCAACAGAGTTCCTGTGTTTAATAAGCTATTTGGATCTCCTCCTTTGTGCAGTACCTGTTCACATAAAAATATCCTCTAATCCCATTTTAGTATAGTCCATGATATTCTTCTCTGTTCATATTACTTAGGTAACTTAATAAAAATGCATGCCGCAGAATTAGAACAGCCTTCATCAGAAAAGCAGCAGAATTCCCCTTCATTAATGACTCAAGGAGAAGAAAAAAGGGCTGTATCCATTTCCAGGCTGAGAGAGGCCTTTTCTCTTCATCATGCAACAAAGAACAAGTCTCAGAATGTGGAAATTCCTGAGCCAAGACGGAACTCTCCGAGACAGAAAAGGAGTGTACCATCTTCTAGGGCTTCAGATCCCATCTCTGGCAGAGACTTGCTGGGCTCTCAGGAAGAGGTGATGATTTCAAGTAAGGGCTCTGGTGACCACCTGGACAGAGCAGAAAGGGAGACAGATTTGGGACACAGCAGCACTTCAGCTGACTCAGAGGGAGGGTTCAGCACTCAAGACACAGACAGTCAGGTCAGCAGTGACCCTGCAGTGAGCTCCCTGGAAGACAGGTTTTTGCAGGAAAACATGGAATCTTGTGAGAAATTACCTGAAACTAACTATCATCTTTCAGAAATGGAATGCCATTTAAACCAAGAAGATATTGGATGTAAACTTAGAGCTTTGCCCCAGCCAACTAATCTCTCATCCCCAAACACAAAGCATTTTAAGAAAGAAATTCCTTCAGATTCTTTCACTTCTGAAAAGTTATTTAATATTCAGAACACCTCAGTGTCTCAGGTTGATGTAGCTGTTAAAATTAATAAGAAAATTGTGCCCCTTGACTTTTCTCTGAGCTCTTTAGCTAAACGAATAAAGCTGTTACATCACCAAGAACAGCAAAGTGCTGGTGGACAGAATTACAGGAAATTCAGGGCAAAGATTTGCCCTGGAGAAAATCAAGCAGCAGAAGATGAACTAAGAAAAGAGATAAGGTAAAATTTTTTCTTAAGGGTATTTTTAGCCCAGGCGCAGTGGCTCACACATGTAATCCTAGCACTCTGGGAGCCCAAGGTGGGAGAATCACTTGAGCTGAGGAGTTTGAGACTAACCTGAGCAAGAGTGAGACCCTGTCTCTATAAAAAATAGAAAAATTAGCCAGGCATAGTGGCAGGTGCCTTTAGTCCTGGCTACTCAGGAGGCTGAAGCAAGAGGATGGCTTGAGCCCATGAATTTGAGGTTGCTCCACTACACTCTTAGCTGGGGCAGGAAGGTGAGACCTTCTCAAAAAAAAAAATTGTATTTTTGTCATGTTAGTGATTGGTCATTTTGAGTGAACCAGGGGCTAATCCTTAGAGACTCAGTGTCTGCTCCTCTTAAGAGCTGTCTTCATTCTCCATCTGCTCTGACAGCATTGCTGTTTCTGTCAGGCTTGAGGCTTAGGTATGGCCCTGGTTTGGCACTAGAATCTGTCCTTTGGCTTTCATTGCCTGTCAGGACAGTCCTACCACAGATTCACTGACTTTTCTTGTACTCCTCTTCCCTTCTCCTTGCTCCCTTTCTCAGATGTTAATGTTGGGCACAGACTGATTGTTCACTTGGCTGATGCATACTTGGCAAGGTTTCTTCTATTCAGCAACTTCTTTTTATTACCTTTCACATTTGTCACATTATTATATCTTTTTCTTTTTGGAGACAGAGTCTCATTATATATCACTCTTGGTAGCGCTCACAGCAACTTCAAACTCCTGGGCTTAAGCCATTCTCTTGCCTCAGCCACCCAAGTAGCTGGGACTACAGGTGCCTAGCACAATGCCTGGCTATTATTTTTTTGTTGTTGCAGTTGTCATTGTTGTTTAGCTGGCCGAGTTTGAACCCACTGGCTTCAGTGTATGTGGTTGGCTCTGTAAACACTGTGCTACGGTGCGAGCCCACATTATTTTTTTTGACGAACTCTTCCACCATGCTGTTCTGCTGTTTGAAAACTTCTAAGGATTTTTTTCTTAGATTTTTTTTTTTTTTAGCATATTCTTTCCCAATCCAAGTTAATCAGTGCCTTTACAACCCCAATTTCATTCCTCTTCCTGAAGATTTTTAGCCCACAGTATTGTTCTTCCTGTGTTAAATTCATGTTTAAGTGGACATTGCTGTTTTCCATTTTTCTTTTTTTGCAGTTCTGACCAGGGCTGGGCTTGAACCTGCCACCCCCAGTATATGGGGTCAGTGCCTTACTCCTTGAGCCACAGGTGCTGCCCCCCAGTTTTCATTTTAATATGTATTAGGAAAAATTGCAGCCAGCACATTGTCAAACCTGGAACTTCAAGAAGATAAGAATATTCTTTTTTCTTCTTTCCTAGAATAAGGATATTCTAGGATAAGAATATTTTTTTTTATCAAGAAAGTCAATTTAAGGAATTACACTAACATTGCAAATAACAAAAAACACTGATAGGTAAATAAATACCACTATCTTCACAAAAATGTACAATATTGTAGCTTTTGTTTAATGTTGAATTTTCTTGAAATTTTTTTTTTTATATTTCAGATTAATATGAGGGTACAAACAATTGGGTTATAATGTTTGTGTTTGTTAGGTGAGATCCCTATTGTAGTTGTGGAAATGTTTTAATCTTTTTAAAACTTGTTGTGGCTGGGTGTGGTGGCTCATACCTGTAATTCTACCACTCTGGGAGTCCAAGGCAGTGGATTACCTGAGCTCAGGAGTTTGAGAGCAGCCAAAGCCAAAGCAAGAGCCCATCTCTAAAAAAAATAGCAAGGCATTGTGGCCGGTGCCTGTAGTCCCAGTTACTCGGGAGGCTGAGGCAAGAGGATTGCTTGAGCCCAAGAGTTTGAGGTTGCTATGAGCTATGACGCCATGGTACTCAACCCCAGAGTGACTGAGCGAGACTGTGTCTCAAAATAAAAACAGAAAACAAAAATAAAAACTTCCTGTGTATATATTTCATCTCATCAATTACTGAGGCATGCAGTGCCCTGTACACAATAAAACTCAGTAATTAGATTGAGCTTTTATACTTTTAGTCTCAACTACGCAGGTTTTGCCTAATTTAGACTATATATTTTGCCTAATTTAGACTATATATATATATCAAAGGAAGTATTATATACTTCCTTTGATATTCATAGTGCCTAGATTACATGGAGAGAAGTTTTCAGGAAATGCTTCCTTTAAAAATTATAGATTAATGGAGGTGAATTTTTTTGAACAGAATCTGAGGGATTCAGTGAGAAAAGCCAGGTTTCTTCACACATGTTCACATGAATATACACAAGTACAGTCATAATATGATCGATAGGAAAGATATGAAAGATACTACAAAATTAATAAGTGTTTACCAGCTTCTGTTTTTCTATTTCAGATTACAGCTAAATATATCAAGTTGTAAAGACTTGTTTCTTTTTTTTTATTTTTTTTTTTGGTGACAGAGCCTCAAGCTGTCCCTGTGGGTAGAGAGCGATGGCATTACAGCTCACAGCAACCTCCAACTTCTGGGCTCAAGCGAGTCTCCTGCCTCCGCCTCCCAAGTAGCTGGGACCACAGGTGCCCGCCACAACGCCAGGCTATTTTTTGGTTGTAGCCATCGTTGTTTGGCGGGCCTGGGCTGGATTCAAACCCACTACCTTAGGTGTATGTGGCTGGCGCCTTAGCCACTTGAGCCACAGACGCCGAGCCAGGACTTGTTTCTTCATCTTAAACCAGATGCTGTTGTTTTTCTTTTTAAAAATACGTGTATTAGAGCTTGAAAAGCTCGGTTTTGTTTTGTTTTGAGACGGGGTCTCATTTATATTGCCCAGACTGGTCTTGAACTCCTGGCCTCAAGGGATCCTCCCACCTCATCCTTGAGAGTGGCTGGGGTTATAGGCTTGAGCCACCATGTCCGGCTTAGGTGCTGTTTTTTATGTTAAGAGAGAGAATTGCCAAAGACACTGAAGACTTGAGTCTTTAGGCCAGTACATGTTTTTCCCAAAGGCAATCAGTCTTAGACACCAGAGCATGGGAGAGCCTAAAATCAGAACCAGGGAAGGTGGGCTTTATGCTGCTTATCAGGTTGACTGTCAGCTCCAAATCCTCCCTTCTTAGTCCTGCTTTGCAATCCTGAAGCTACACATTACAAGTCAAAGCAGAAGCGGTGTCTCTCCTTGTTTCTGGGGTGCCTCCTACAATGCACGAGTCTCTATGTTGGATCA